TCTGCAAACGCTCTGCCATGTGAACAGTTTCTGTAGAGATAAAGAGGGCACTACAGCACGGGTAGAAAGCTGATGCCCGGGCTAATGATGCACTGGCTAGAAGTTGCCCTTCAGAGCTTTGGGTTTGACCTCCTCCTGTGTTCTCAGGTGATGGGCTGACCAGTCGTTTCAGGTAACATCCCTCAGCTGGCATCCCCTTTTGGACATTTACTACGTAGCTCTCTACTCCCTCTTGTTCCTTTTTCTTCATGGGTAACTTGTGCAAGTGTAAACTAAAACTAACAGAAATTAAAAAATAATACAAATTAAGTAAAACGCCCTTTGTGTGATAATCCTTCACAGCCTAGAAGCAAAGGGAGATGGGATTTAATTTAGGCCAGTCCTCTGCTGCATTTCAGATAAAGGATTTTTAATCTAGTTGTAGGTTGATAAAAATGCCCCTCTCTGATCCTGCAGGCAACTTTTTCTGCCAATTTTCTTTGCAGAGAGGAAGAGAAGGGAAGAAATAATTGAAAGAACACTGCCGCATAGAAAATGACACTGACAGAGTAATGCACTTTGGAACTGTGTGCTCTGCCAGATCCTTGTTTTCTACTATTTTTTTCTTCCCTTTTACTTCAGAAATTTAAAGCTATTGGTAATCATCAGCATGATTAGGTGATTTTTTTTTTTTTTTTTCTTTTTTGAGTGCTAGCCAGGTAGCAGTCTTTTAAATACAAAATGATTTCTCTATTCTGGAGTGTTATTTCAACTTTCACAGTACAGCTCGTTCTCTTCCACCCCAAGCAGAAATTTTTCAGGGTTAATTTATTCATCTAATTGCTGGGTGCACATGTGGTATTGCAGTCCACAGTGATTTTATGGACTTAAGGCTATGGTAATGACTTAATAAACATGCATGTGTACATGATTTGAAGGCAATATATTCTCTTGAATGTAATGTCTCAGAAAACACGGCATGAAAAATAAAAGGGTAGCCAGAGGCGTATCTCAGTGGAGGCGTGAAATGCTGAGCTTTTAGTATTTTTTCCAAATTAAAGACTCTGTTTAGAAAAGGTATTACCTGTCCAGTTTTCTGACAATTCATGAGCATTTGAATAATCAAAAAAACCTCGCAACACACCACTTCTTTTGCCTGCCTTTGCTTCCATGTCATTCTTTCAAGCCCTCCTTCGGGCTCTTAAAGTTAGTCAGCGCGTGTCCACAGGAAAGCAAAGTTGAGCTGAATGAAGAAAAGGAACAGAACAAGTTTAGATGGACAGGTTTTAGGAAGGGCATGTTAGAAATCTCTGATGCTTTCTATGAAAGGGTGAAGGGGGTTGGAGGAAAGGGAAGTTTCAAGGGCTGTTGATTGAGGGGCTGGTAAATGAAGCCCCGTCAGCTTAAACAAAACCCAACACTAAAGCACCTGTGTTAAAGTGTATGAATTTACACTAGTTAAATGTTAAAAGAAGGGGGTGGGAAGTGGTGGTGTTGGATTCCCTAGCTGTTGGGCAATTTGTTATGCTTGAAAGCTAAAATGATTTTCTGTTGTCCCATTGGCAATTATTAATCCTGATGTAACTGGTCTGGATTCAACTTCCCTCTTGGGAATGAACCACACACTGCCAAGGCTGGGAGCACGTGCCCAGGGATGCTGGCCCTGTGTATGGCTCCTTCTCACCTCCTCCTCTGCTCGCTGCCAAAACCAGGGGACCAGCTGGGCTGGGCCTTTGACTGACCCCATATGGTAGTTTCTTTGCTCTTCTAGCAGTCTAACAGCCTAATGCTGGCAGTAATGCATGAAGTGATAAGATTTTTTTTTTTTTTCTGATGAGGCCAATTTCCATTGGCAAGCAAGCTTACTCTTTTCTCTTTGAGTTGTCTCTTCGTAACGACTGGGATGTTTGGTGAAAATGTTGGTTCGCTGATAGCTGGGAGAAAGGAGCTGCTTGCAATGAGAGCTGTTATGGGCATTGATGGTTGGGTACTCAGTAATTTGGGGTGGGAGGGCTCCAGTTCCTTATCCTTTGCTTTCCCAAACATACAGTGCTATGTTTTCATGAATCTTGTGGAATGGTTTATGGCAGTTTCCATCCAGACCATTAAACCATGGGAGCAGGTGTCAAGTGGTTGGCCAATAGCAGATGTCAACTCTGAGTCTTGGAAAGGTCTGAATAAGTGTTTTAGCCATTGCCTAGGCCTGCTACCTGCAATATTAAATACTTCAGGATATTTTTTCCAGGAACTGGGCAGGTGACAAAGTTTTTGAGGGAGTTTAGATCTTTAGCTCAATTTTGAGTAACATTTGGCTCAGTTTTTAATTACAGCCCTGGTTTGGATACCCCAGGCTCACCTGCACTTAGAATCCCTGGTTCCTTTAAGCTGTGATTGGAAAATGTCTCATGCTAACACTTGACTGTCGCTTGTGATGGAAAAGTCCTCTTTGGTCAGTCACAGTGAAGCAAGCTCCTGCCACAATGGCTGTTTTTGGCCTTGACCAGATGAGTGACCCCGAGGATACCTGTGAGTTCTTTAACAAACTGTGGATTTGGATGCCATCTCAACCTGCTTTGGCTCAGGAGGCCATTCTGGGCAATGGCCAGTTTGGTCTATGAAGGTGGATGTAGGGAAGGCCCAGGATCTTCAGACAAACCCATGGCTCATGGGAAGGAGCATCCTGTAGCAGGTATTTAAGAAACATGTAGACGTGGCACTTCAGGGCATGCTCTAGTGCCTGAGATTGTTGGTTTGTGTCTGCTTGTGGTTTGTTTGTGTGGGGTTTTTGTTTGTTTGTTTTGTTTTGTTTTGGGGTTTTTTGGGGGTTTTTTGTGGTTGGACTCGATGATCTCAAAGGTCCCTTCCAGCCTTCCAATGCAGGATTCTGTGATCCTGCATCCAACTGCCCTTGACTTTATAATAGGTGTTTGCCCCTCCGACCCCACCCCTGAGACTTGACCCTTTGCTGAAACAGTGATTTTCGTGTTTTGGGGAGACAAATGGTGATGACTTCTTCTACCTTTCTCTCCAAAAAGATTGTAATTTTTGGAGGGAGAGCTGGTGAAGGACTTTCTCTGTTGCCCTGTTGTGACCCTGAGGCACAGTTGAGACCTTTCTCTTTCTTGATACTCTCCTGCCTCTGTTTACTATCAGTAAAAAAAGCCAAGTTTAACTAATCCTTCTGTTAAAGTAAGAAGCTAGGGTTGAAAACCGAGCCACTGAGGTGCAACTCTTTTGAAGCCTGCAGTGGTTACAGCTGTCGGCTGCCTTGGAGAGAGCTGCACCGTCCTCCCACGTGCTCGATCCAAAGGCAACAGAAGTGTTATTATGAATTTCGGTTTGTTTTATTTGGTCTAGAAGAAGGTGTGATAAAGCAGTCTCCCTCTTTTGCCTTTGCTGTCCTGCGTACTTAAAAGCCAGAGCACTTTATGTCATGATGCTAGTGCATCTGGCCGTCCCTACAGACCTGCTGTAGGTCCTTGCTCATCTTCCTTAATGGTCACTCAGCAAAGCTGGCTGTTTAATGGCCAACGGGGCCATGAGTTCCCTCTGCCTTTGCTGTGCAGCACTGTGCCCCAGTTCAGACTGTAGTTCCTGTGCTTCTTGCTGCTTCCTAGCCTCATTATTTTTCACTTTGCTGCTGTTAGTTTTGCTAGTAAGGCCCCATTTGTCAAAACTTCTTTGTTGAAGCAGGGAAAAGATGGGGTGGGGGGAGCGAGGTGTGCAGCTTCAGGAAGGATGAAGTTACTTCCACAGAGCAAGATCACATCAGCAAAGAACTGAAGGTGACCGCAAGCAGGTTCTGGAGAATGTCATTCGTTATTTGTACATACAACCAAGATGAAACTATTCCTCTTTGCCCTCTTGGGAGGTGCTATTTAAATGAGGAAAACGCAGGTCTTTTTTCAAAGAGCATGCAGGCTAAACAAACAAGGTAAGGACAGGAGAAAATAAATATTATCCTCACTACTGAGATCAAAAGCAAGGCTTAGAGATGCTAAAAGATTTGCCTGAGTTGATATAAGCACTCCATAGAAGAGCAGAGGTGGAAACTGAACCCAGAGCCTCTGACTTGATGAGCAGTGTCCTCTGAAATACTGTGTGGTCAAGAAAATGGCAGTATCATCAAATTCCAGCTGTTGCCTGTGAACACTGACACCTTAAAAAAAGTGACAGCATTAAAAAAAAAACTCTTTATCTTTGTGATAGTATTTTCCTCATGTCAGAATTGGTTTTTTTCCAATTTTCTGTTATTTGATATTGTTACTGTATTTAGTAGCTAATTTAATAGTTGTTTCTGATGACAAAATATTTAGAGATTCCTGAGCCTAAATGTTCCAGAATTCCTGTTCTCAAAAATATTTGCAAGTTAACTACTTGTTCTGTTTTTGCATTAAAAGAAATTGGAATATGTTATCGTTTTTCACATTTTCAAGCGTTCTTGTGATGGAGGATGAAGAGCAATGTACTTTGTACTATTTTTTAAAGATTATGCCTTCCTTCATTGTCATATCCTACCTAGTTAAAAATAGGAATGATATTCATTGCATTGGAATATATGCTTGCAATACAGTTGTGCAGTTATCAGAATAACTCTGTTCTTATTTACGTGCAAAAATTATTGTTTGTCTGATATACTCTGGCATTATGAATATTAGCCTTTATTAACTGTCTTAATTCCTCTAAATTAAAGAAAGCTCATTTAGAGTATTACCATGAACACATTTTTGTTATTAATGCCAGTTTTAGCTTCTGCATCAGAAAGGAAAAAAATTTTTTTTTTTTTTTTCCTTGAAGTGTAAGATTTTATTTTTCTGGGTGAGCGAAGGAGAGCTTGGTTCTTAACTGTTTGCATTTCTAAGAGCTGCTCGAAACAGAGCACACCCTGGATTAATTTTCCCCACCCTGTTGTCACAGGCTGCGTGGTCGCAAAGCCTGCTCCATTTAGGAAAAGGAAGTTGAGTAATTGCCCCCTGACAGACCTCCCTGTCAACTCCTCAGGATATCACTGCCGGGTTGTTTGGTGGGAAAACACCTAAAGTCAACACGGAGAGGTACTGGAAATAGCATTCAGATGGTGGTGGGATATCCAGTGCGTCGGATGGAAGCACATGAAAGGTTCAAGCAGAAACAAGGGTAAGGAACCATTTAATGGAACCATTTAATGACTGTGGAACTGTGTTTCTCTTTTGGCTACCAGGCTTTCCCTGCAGCAATTGCCTGCTAGCCAGTAGAGAACACGTCTGTTGCTGGTAGAAGTAAAGATTTTTCTGTTGACTTAAACTTGGCTCAGGCGTGAAAACCCTGCTTTGAGTTTGAGGGTAATTACTACTGCATAGCAAAGCCATGTGGGATTAGTTCCAGGCTGGATAGGGAGAGAAGGTGGATGGTTCCCAGGTAGAAATGAAAATAGGACAGATGCTTTGCAGTGGGTGTTTAGGTGGAGGTTCATTCCAGATGAGGATTTGGCTACTCAGAGGAGGACAGAGGTAAAATTAGGTCCTGCAGGCCAAACTGTAATGTAAATCAGCTGCTGCCTAGTCCTGAGACTGCTTGGATTCAATATCTGTCTAAACATCTGGAGCGGCACTTCTGTGTGCCCAGGGCTGCCCTACCTGATTGGGATCCAGGGACTTCACCTGAAAGTACATTGAGCACCACTCAAAACCTCTTCTGATGTGCATGAGTGACTGTTTCAGCTGCTTGAGAAGGGACAAAGGGCATGTTGGTTACATCAAGGAGAGGCACCATCAGGATGGATGTTTTGAGAACTTCAACTCTGAACTTAGGTAACTGAGTTCTGCCTCGCTCCTGCTTCAGTGCCTGACCTGGGTCTGATCTTCCATGTGAGAATAAGGAGCAGCTCATCCTGGGCTGGTGGAGGGCGACTAAAGAGGGACCATGATTACAAATGCTATTTCTGTCACGAGGAATTGTGAATTTGTTGGTGATAAGAAGGATGTACTTTAGGTTCCTGGGCGATGCTAAACTCCTAGGCTACAGTTCTGCCCGTGCGTTAATGAAAAAGTAGCAAAGTTGAAACGGAGTCTCAGCACAAAAGAACTGGATAGCTATTTTGGTCATTGCACTCTTTTTTCTTTTTGGTTCATAGAGTGTTGCTTTTATGCTTTCCCATTACACAGTTTTATGTTATTACTGTGGATGAATTAATCTTATGAGAACGGCTGTGGCTGTCCTTTGCTGATGGGGGAGGAGGGCAGGAGGAATGACTTCAGTGCTCTTTTAATTACTGCTCTCATTAATTACCCTCCAAACGAAGCACGTTCTTGCTCAGAGCTGTTTCCACAAGCCAAAATGTCCTTCTGGAACTGGTTTACACCTGAAAGGGTAATTGCTTCCTGACTTTACGCTTACGTATTTCCAAAACTCAACAGCATCTCATCCAGCTTCATCATACACCTCCTCCCTCTACAAAACTGGGCTTGCCCAAGTTAGGAAAGCTCCTTATTTAGCTCCATCTTAAGACACCTGCCTAATAATAACCCAGGTGTAGCCTGTAGCTGGAATTGCTTGTCCTCTGTGTGCCTGCTACAGTCAGGATCAGAATTTTCATCCTTTGGTTTATGTCATGAAATAAATAGGACTGGCAAAATCCATGCAGACAGGCTTAAAAGGGACAGGACTGTGCATGAGCACTCACTCGGCAAACACTCACCTCGGAGCCGATACTGCTGAAATTGCCGAGTGCTGTGACAGGAAAAAGGAAAAAAAAAAACATCCCACCCCGACCCACCAGAAACCCTCGTTCCTCTGGTGGTCCCCAGGCAGACGGGGTTCTGGCAAGGAAGGAGGATGAAACCGATCCCTGCTTTGTGGGTGCCCTGCATGGGCTCAGTGCTGCTGCGGCAGTGTTGCTGCTCCATAGGCACTTCATGAGTGATGTGACAGCTTCCCTGACTGAAGTAATTCCAAGTACTGTAACATGAAGTGTCAAGGCAGACAGTAGAAAACATTTCAATCCTTTTCATTAGAACAAAGCGCTATTCTCTTGACAGCTTTCAAATGCATATTGTTTAGCTATTATGTGCTAACCTTGACTATTATATTCCAAGCACAATAGCAGTGGGAGCTCTCTGCTTTTTTGTTCGTTAGTGATCATGGTAAGAGGATTTCTTTTTTTTTTTTTTTTTTTTTTTTTTTTTGTTGGGTTGAAGAAAAATCTAGATTAAAAAACAAAAAAA